TTCTACAGGATAATTCAAGGACAAAGAGAAGACCCCAAGAAAGAAGGCAGCCCTGGTGACCAAAGCTGGCAGATGGGGGTCAGCTGGGAGCCCCAGGATGGTGGATACCGGGGCCAGGCTGGTGGATACCCCACCCAGATCCTTGCTCAGGAAGGCAGCCCCAAGGGAACCTTCATTTCCAGTCAGATGGGGACAGAGGCGGGGCAGAGCCAACGCAGGAGGGCTCAGAGGAAGCTCCTGCCAGGACTGATACGTGAGGGAGGCTGAACAAGAGGAGGGAGCTCCACAGACTGTGGCGTCCAGGAGGATTTGGGGAGTGTGAGATGAGAAAACAGGAAGTCTCACCCAGCCCAGCGGAAGGGAAGCATGAAGAGAGAAGAGATGTCAGTTACACCTCCTAGAAACCGTCTCTGAAAGGACAGGAGCCAGGAAGGGGGCAATCCTGCACACCCCAAGCCAGACTGGTAGGCCCAGGTGCCCTGCCCTGGTCCAGGCCTCCGTCCATGGGGTCTCACTGCTCTCTCTGCCAAGGCTTTTGTCTCCCAGACAAGCCGTTCTCCATGAAGCACTTACAGTGATATAAATATGGACCAGGCCGGGTGCAGTGGCTCACGCCTGTAATCTCAGCATTGTGGGAGGCCAAGGCAGGAGGATCAGGAGTTGGAGATCAGCCTGGCCAACATCTCTACTAAAAATATAAAAATCAGCCGGGCGTGGTGGCTGGTGCCTATAGTTCCAGCTACTCGGAAGACTGGGGTGGGAGAATCGCTTGAGCCTGAGAGGCAGTGGTTGCGGTCAGCTGAGATCAAGCCATTGCACTCCAGCCTGGGCAATAAGAGCGAAACTCTGTCTCAAAAAAAAAAAAAAAAAAAAAATGGACCAGAGCAGGACACGCCCAACCTGCCAAAGACTCGCAGAGGCAGATCCCATCTCTGTCGCCTGGCCTGGCCTCCTCCATCCCCAGCTTCATTGCAGACCTCCCCGGTTGACCTCTCAGCCCCAGGGCTTTTCTCATGCTCTTGCCTCTTTCTAGAAGGTTCTCCCCTGCTGGGCTGGCAATTCTTGATCCTCCTTCAGGTCTTAGTTTAAAACTGTTCTTCTGACAGGTGTGGTGGCTCACACCTGTAATCCCAGCCCTTTGGGAGGCTGAGACGAGTGGATCACCTGAGGTCAGGAGTTCGAGACCAGCCTGGCCAACATGGTGAAACCCCATCTCTACTAAAAAAATACAAAAGTTAGCTGGGCGAGGTAGCAGGCACCTGCGATCCCAGCCACTCGGGAGGCTGAGGCAGGAGAATTGCTCGAACCTGGGAGGCAGAGGTTGCAGTAAGCTGAGATTGCACCACTGCACTCCAGCCTGGGATACGAAGCAAGACTCTGTCTAAAAAAAAAGGGAAAAAAAAGCCTGGTGTGGTGGCTCATGCTTGTAATCCAGCCCTTTGGGAGGCTGAGACGGGTGGATCACAAGGTCAGGAGTTTAAGACCAGCCTGGCCAACATGGTGAAACCCCGTATCCACTAAAAATATAAAAATTAGCCAGGCATGGTGGCAGGTGCCTGTAGTCCCAGCTACTCAGGAGGCTGAGGCAGAAGAATTGCTTGAACCCGGGAGGCAAAGGTTGCAGTGAGCCGAGATCATGCCACTGCACTCCAGTGCAGGACTCCATCTGAAAAAAAAAAAGCAACTGTTCTTCCTGGAAAGCCTGGCCTCCCATGATACCTCCTTTGCACAACGCTTGGGCTCTTTTAAGAGTTAAAGTGAACACTTGAAGATGTGTGTGATTATTATTTTTATAATTAATAGACCTTATTTTTAGAGCAGTTTTAGGTTTACAGAAAACTGAGCAGATAGTACAGAAAGTGCTCATTTCCCTGCACAGTTTCCCCTATCGTGGGATATATGTGTTACAGTTTTGAGCCAATACTGATACAGTATCATTCACTAGAGCCTGTGGTTTGCATTAGGACTCACTCTGTGTCGGATAAGTCAGCAGGTTTCGCCATATGCATGATGCCAGGTATCTATCACTGTGGCATCATAAAGAATGGTGTCACCGCCCTAAAAACCCCTTGTGTGCCACCTGTTTATCCTCCCTCCCTGTCCCCTCCAATCACTGATTGTGTTCCTTGTCTCCCTGCTAGACCCCAAGCACCATTGAGGCAGGGAGCCATCTGCTTCATTGACATTACACTCACTGTTCCCAGCTCAGAGCCTGCCACATAACAGGTGCCTGATAAATATTTTTATTTGCATATTTTAATAAAAACAGGATTCCACTAAACCCATTGTTCTGCAATTTGCTTTTTCCAAATATTGACAATATATCTTTGAAATCTTCCCATATCAGGATATAGAACACACTCTCTTCCACTTTTTATCATGGAGAATTCTAACACAAAAGAAGAGAGAATCTGCTGTGATGCCCCTCTGTGTCCCCCCACCTGACTAGTTATCAACTAGTGGACCTTCTCATTTCATCTGTACCTCTGCCCATCAGATAATTTTATCTGTAAATATTTCTGTCTCTCTCTCTCTCTCTCTCTCGAGATTTAGTCTTGCTCTGTTTCCCAAGCTGGAGTGTAGTGGTGCAATGGCTCACTGCAACCTCTGCCTACCAGGTTCAAGCAATTCTTCTGCCTCGGCCTCTCAGTAACTGGGGTTACCGAATGCATACACCTGGCTAATTTTGTATTTTTAGTAGAGATGGAGTTTTGCCATGTTGCCCAGGTTAGTCTCGAACTCCTGACCTCAGGTGATCCACCTGCCTTGGTCTCCCAAAGTGCTGGGATTACAGCCGTGAGCCACCACACCTGGCCCTTTTTTTTTGAAACCGTCTTGCTCTGTTCCCCAGGCTACAGTGTAGTGGTGCAAACATGGCTCGCTGCCATGTTCCGTGGGGCTCGCTCAAGGGATCCCCCTGCCTTAGCCTTTTGAGCAGCTAGGACTGCAGACATGTGACACCACACTGGCTATTTTTTTAATTTTTTGTAGAAACGGGATCTTACTATGTTACCCAGACTGACCTCAAATTCCTGGGCTCAATCAGTCCTCCTGCCTCAGCCTCCTAAAGTGCTGGGATTACAGGTGTGCATCACCACGCCTGGCCTGTGTGATCCTCTAAAAGATAAGGACTTTAAAAAAACATAGCCGGCTGGGTGCAGTGGCTCAAGCCTGTAATCCCAGCACTTTCGGAGGCTGAGGCAGGTGGATCCCAAGGTCAAGAGATTGAGACCATCCTGGTCAATTTGGTGAAACCCCGTCTCTACTAAAAATGCAAAAAATTAGCTGGGCATGGTGGCACGTGCCTATAATCCCAGCTACTCAGGAGGCTGAGGCAGGAGAATTGCCTGAACCCAGGAGGCGGAGGTTTCGGTGAGCCAAGATCGCGCCATTGCACTCCAGCCTGGGTAATGAGCGAAACTCCGTCTCAAAAAAAAAAAAAAAAAAAAAATAGCCACACTATCATCATCACACCTAGTAAACATTAATTTAATATCATCTAATATAGGCAATGTCCAAATTTCCAGTTATCTCATAAATATACATTCCATTTGTTTGCGTGTTTGATTTTACAGGTTGTTTGAACCAAGGGCCAGAGGAGCTTCGCTTCTGCCATTAATTGGTATGTTTTTGAGGTTGCTCTTGCTCTAGGTCCATCCTTTTTCCGTATCAATTTTTTCTCCCATGCAACTCCTTATCGGTTGAAAAAACTGGGTCATTACTACCAGATTATCCTCCAGTCTGGATCTTGCAGATGTCACCCCCTGATGTCAGTCAGTGTGATGCTCTGTCCTCCGACTTTCCTGGGTGCTCACAGCTGGATCTAGAGACTTGATCTGATTCAGGTTCAATTGCTTTGGTGAGACGGCTCTGGGTGGGGGTGTGCTCTCCTAGAGAAGCTCACTCTCTGCTGGCCTCTCTTGGAAAGTTTGGGGCTGGTGCGGCTCCATGCCTGGAGCCATTCATTCATTCATCAGGGACTGCTAATTCTCTCCTGAAATACTTCTATAAAAAGCAACTTCCCCTCATCAACTTTCAGTTACCCCGAGGTACAGTTTATATAGGACAGGCAGGATAAATGCTTGATTCTTTCCCTTTATTTACCAGTTTTCAGAATAATGAGTCGCCTCTAAATATTTGAATGAATGGATGAATGATATGTGTGGATGAACTGACAGGGTGTGGGAGTTTGGGGTTCTGTCACCCTCAAGGGCGTGGCCGTGGGCCACAAGCTGACAGCAGAGGTCCAGCCTAAAGCCAGGTGCCTGTCTACACCAGGAGCTGGCAGCAGCCCCTGCCACCCATCAACCCACCTCAGTCAAGAGCTAGGGTGATCAAGCCAGGAGTGTGGCTCACGCCTGTAATCCCAGCACTCCCAGCACTCAGGAGGCCGAGGCGGGCAGATCACGAGGTCAGGAGTTCGAGACCAGCCTGGCCAACGTGGAGAAACCCGATCTCTACTAAAACTACAAAAGAATTAGCCATGCGTGGTGGCAAACGCCTGTAATCCCAGCTACTCAGGAGGCTGAGGCAGGAGAATCACTTGTACTGGGGAGGGGGAAAGGAGGGTGGAGGTTGCAATAAGCCGAGATCAGCCCATTGCACTCCGGCCCGGATGACAGTGTGAGACTGTGTCTCAAAAAAAAGTTGGGTGAGGGGTGTGGTCCTAGGGTGATCTGAAGCTGCATTACTAAGAATCTAACATCTAGGACAAGGGAGTATCATCACTCTCCCCAACTGAGATGTGGGGAATCACTGAAACCAGCATCAGAGTGGAGAGAGCCACACAGTGAGTGTAGGGGCAGCCTTCGGAACACACGGCGTTGATCTCTCTGCAGGAGGGGGAATCAAGGATTTTCTGGCCTAAAGCTTGGGCTGGTGGCCTCCAGGGTTTCTTCCTGGGCATCCCAACACCTCCTGGGAGGCACTCCTTTCCCCAAAGTCCAGGCCAGGCTGCCCATGAGCTCTCTGACATCTCTGCCCCCTTGCTGTCTCCCCAGGTGCAAGTGCAACCTGCACGCCAACCTGTGCTCTGTCCGGGAGGGCAGCCTGCAGTGTGAGTGTGAGCACAACACCACCGGCCCTGACTGCGGCAAGTGCAAGAAGAACTTCCGCACCCGGTCCTGGCGGGCCGGCTCCTACCTGCCGCTGCCCCACGGCTCTCCCAACGCCTGTACGTGCCACGCCTGGGACCATGAGCCCGCATGGCTGCAGTCTCTCCCGCCCATCCATCCCAGGACCTGTGGATCATACACACCCACACATACCAGCACACAGGCACATACGAGGGCACATGCATGCAAATGTGCACACAGAAAGATACGGCCTGCATGCACGGGCATGGATACACATATAAATGCACAAACATATGCATGCCCAGAAACGCACAGGCATGCACACACATGCACACACACACACACACACACACACACACACACACCCCTTGTTCTGCAGCTCCCACGTGCCAGGTTTGTTAACAAGTCCGTCTAGCACACTGCATCTTGCAGAACGCTAAGCTGCCCATCCAGCCATGGTCTGCAGGGAAACCCCAGATGAGCTGCTCAGCGGCATTTCTGCAATGCTTCCCCTTCTTGCCCCCTGAAGGCTGGCTGGGGACCCCCCTTGGGATGGCAGGAAGTGATGGGGGTGGGGACCCCACTTCAGGTGAGTGGATCAGCAGCAGCATCCCTGATCATGAGCATCTCTGGGGTGTTTGGAGCAAGCCACAAAGGCCAAGTGTCACGTGTTCAGCACTCCCCGCCATCCTCAGAGCAGCCCTGGGAGCTGGGCTCCTATTTGCCCATTTTACAGCTGTGTCCTCAATTACTGGTGGTGGCTTGACCCCTGGCGGTGGCTCCCAGGGTTTCTCGACCAGTTTTCCAGCCATGCTGCCTTTGTCAGACAGGAACCCTGCATAGTGTCCTTGTCCTTCTCTCTCCAGTGCATGTGCAGCTCCACAGTCCCCTGCACGTGCTCTCTGCCACCCCTCTCCTGTCCTTGCTCAGCCATGCCAGGGGAGTCATCCTCAGGGCCTGTCCACTCACTTCTGCATCACAAACCTCCTCTGAGGACTCCCGCTCAGGGGGTCCCAGCATAATGCACACCGTCTTCATGAAATCGGAATGCCAAGGAGCCCCTGGGCTGCAAGTGGAGCAGGGCACAGATGCCCTGACCCCCACCGTTGCCACTTTATGGACATCGGTGGTTCTCAAGCATGTGCTTGGTGCCCGAGGCCCTCCCAGGCACTTTCTGCTTGACTTGCTTCGCCTTCACATAGCCCCACAGGGTGGTGTCCTTATTATGGCCCATTCTCCAGATGAGCAGACTGAGGCCCAGTGACTCTCGGGGCCTCCCTGGGTCTCACAATGAGTTCCGTGCAAACACCAGGGCTTAGAGCAGCTACTGGATCTGATGCCCACACCAGGCCGGGGCAATGGGCTCCTGCACCCCATCTGGGCATCCTCCCTGGACAGCTGAATGATTTATGTGACTTTAGGCTGATCAAAGCTGAAAGCCACATGCAGAGGCCATGACAGGCCTGTCATGTATGTGCTGCAGCAGGCAATCAGACAGGCCTTTGAAGGGGTGACTTGGCAGGCACCAAACAGCACTCTCGGGTCTTCAAAGGCACAAAGAGCGCCCCAGGGGCTGGCAGCCCACTCCAGCCACTGCCTCCTCCCAGCTTCCTGTCCCCAGTTCTTTGTCCAGACCCTTTCCCGAGGCCTCTCTTTTAGTGGCTGTCACTCTCCCTTACTCGCAAATTTGCCTCTCCTTTGTCTGTCCTAAGGGCCTCTCTCCCTTCCCTCCTCCCTACCTCCATTCTCTCCATCATCATGCCCTCCTTACTTTTTTTTTTTTTTTTTTTGAGACAGGTCTCTCACTCTGTTGCCCAGGCTGCAGTGCAGTGGCGCAGGCACAGCTCACTGCAGCCTCAACCTCCCTGACCTAAGCGATCCTCCCACTTCAGCCTCCCAACTAGCTAGGACCACAGGCACACGCCACCATGCCCAGCTAATTTATGTGGTTTTATAGGGACAGGGTTTTGACATGTTGCCCAGGCCGGTCTCGAACTCCTGAGCTCTAGTGACCCTCCTGCCTTGGCCTCCCAAAGTGCTGGGATTATAGGCATGAGCCACTGGCCATGTCTGGCTTTTATCTTCTACTTGGCCCCTGCACCTGGGGGTTCTGCAAGGCCTCCGGTCTACCCATCGATGGGCCTGAGGCTCTTACCTGCTGGTCACACCTAGGAGGACCCACTGTTTCCACTCTCACCCCACGTCACCACCTCTGGTCTAGCCAGTGATGGACAGACAGGCCTGTAGGGGTTGGGCAGCTGGGGCTTCCTTATTTAGGGGAGACTCCCAGAGCTGGCCCCACCTCCTGCTTCCCTGGGAATCCCCCAAACCCCAGGAAGGAGGGGTTTCTTCTGGCATTTGCAGGGGCAGCGGTGAGGCTGGAGGTGCTGCTGTCCTCAGCACCCGAGCCTCCTGCCTTCCCTGGGGCTCCAGCAGGAAACAGCCCAAGGAGACAGAGGTTGATTTTGCCCTCACCTGCCCCTGTCATGAACCCTCCTCAGTAAGTGACATGGACCCCCATGGGCCAAGCTGCAAGTCTGGGGGTCACCTTGACTGGTGACCCTCTTCCAACTTCCCTCCATCCCCAATCTCTCCCGATGCCCCCTTCAGCCCTGCAGTAGCCCTCACTCCCGATGTCTTCCCACCTTCTCACCCCTCTGCCCTCACCTGGCCGACTCCTCACCCTCCAGGGCTCAACTTAGAGGACCCAGGATCTCCCTGTGCTCTGCCTATGTCCCACCTGTCCCCACAGAGCCTCACTTGGTCACCACCCGGTCCAGGCCTTTGCTCACTGTGGCTGCATTCCAAGGTGTCCTGAGGGTCTAGCAGGTGCCTGCGCAGACCTGGAGGTGGAGGGAGTGGGTGAGGATGGGCTCCTCCTCTCAGGCCTCCCGGGACATCCTGCTGGCCGTGGCCTTGGCTTGCCCATGAGAAACCCATGTGCCACACCTCCCACTGCTGATCCCACAGTGCCCTTTCTCGGGAACTCTGTGGGGAAAGCTGTGGCCCCAACTCCTTCCTTTTGCAACTGTGACGAATCTCACCCTGGGATTTCGCCCTGGTCACACCAGGATCATTGGCCTCCTGCATCCCCTGGACACACAGAGACCTGCCAGATTTGAGTCAGGCCTTGCCCGCTCCCAGCTGTATTTCTCCCCAGCTGTGCATCCTCAGCTGTGGAATCAGGAAGGAAACTCCCTCACTGGTTTTTTGTGAGGATGGTGCAGTTCACATAGGGGATGGTGATACCCTGCCCGGCACGTGGGACGCACTTGACCCCTGGCGGCGGCTCCCAGGGTTTCTTGGCTGGTTTTCCAGCCACGCTGCCTTTGTTGGACCTGAACCCTGCATACAATGTCCTTGTCCTGCACTCCCCAGTGGGTCCAAAAGTCTAAAGTAAGAGGAGTATGTGTGCAGCTCCCCATGGAGGGTTTGACACCCTTCAGCATGTCCCCAAGGATAAGCCATGGCTCTGAGACTCAGTGTCTCCATCTGCAGAATGGGCCAATAGTGGTTCCTCTCTCCCAAGGCTGCAGTGAGGATGAAACAGGATAATCCACCCCTGTCCTACACCCTGCAGGTCACCACCATTGCTAGCAGCCGTGTAGTGGAGCAGATGCTCTTGAGAGAGGGACACCCCCAAGTGTTTCTCCTGCCCTGCTGGCTCCTCTGCTGGGGGGACACAACCAGGCCCCTCCCCCACAGGCAGCCAGCTCATGCCCCTCTCTCTCCCGCAGGTTCCGCTGCAGGTTCCTTTGGCAGTAAGTAAAGGCCTGTGGAGGGCGGCCGGGGCCCCACTGCACCAGCCTCTTTGCATGTCCTGGAAAAAGCAGGAGAGAAAAAAGGGGCTTCGGTGTCACCTCTGGGACTTGGACCTATTCGCTCTCTCCTCTAATTACGCCCCATCTGCTTCTCCACCTCTTGTCCCTCCACATCATATGTCATGTGTCATGTGTCATTTGGCCGTGGCCTGTGGCCCCACATCGCAGGCTCTCCTAGGAGCTCCATCAATGCTGCTTTGGAAAACAGGACGGGACCTTTTGCAGGTCCCTTGACCGCTGGGTGGACTCCCCATTCCTCCTGCCACCCGGGCCTCTTCTCACCCAGATCTGGGAGAGGAGTCTCTCCTGCCAGAGAGGCAGGAGGGATGTGACCTTCCCCGACCAGGGCAGACTCCACTGCCCAGCCTGACGGTGGAGGCAGCCTCCCTCTTGGTAGCCTCTCCAGCCAGCTTGGCCCAGGGCTCTGCTTGTCCAGGTCAGCTCAAGTCCCAGGAGAGTCGGTCCAGGGAGGGGCACCTGCAGGAGGTTGGGGTCCTGAGAGTTCTCCAGGAGGGCAAGGGTGACATGGCGCCCACAGGCTGTCCGTGAATGCCATCAAGGCTGTCCCCAAATGCTCACAGGGTGCCAGGCACAGCCTCCCATTTCAGCCTTGCAAACCCCTCCCCCTGGGAGGTGGCCATCTGCTCTGAGAGGCAGCAGGAAAGGGCTGGTCAATGTCAAGAGCCAGCCGGTAGCAGATCCCAAATCTCAGCAGTGCCTCTGGGGCACGCCGTCACCCTCCACCAGGGCTCTGTGGGGCCCCACATCCCATCCAAGTTGTCCTTCCCGGACCCAGAGAGCCCCTGGCTGGGAAGCCAGTGCCAAGAGGGAAACAGAAAGATGCTGGACCCTGCGGGAATGCTGGTCTGCACGGCCGTGGTAAGTTGCTTCTCTGTGGTGTCCCCACCCCGGCAACCCCCCGACCCTCTCTTCCTTTTCCCATCTCTCTCCAGGCATCAGCAGGTCCCGGGAAGACCCCAACCCAAAAGGCCCTGTGACTACCACAGCCACCACGGCAGTGATAGGGGCCCCCACCACTCCTGTCCCCTCTACGTCCACTGTCTGGGCCCCCACAGCCCCCAGCACCCCACAGCCCACAGGTGGGTGCCAGGGTCCAGTGACCCCTGCCTTCCCACCTCTCCAGCTTCTAGCCTGAGTCACTGTCTCTGTCGGGGTGGGAGGGTCAGCAGCCCTGGGGGGAGAGCAGGGGCTTGGCTCTTAGAGACACTAGAGCCCTAGAGCTGGGAGGCCAAAAGGGCTTCTAGGTTGCCTGGGTCAACCTGTTCCTGAGCCCAGCCAGGCAACTCAAGGGTCAGTTCAGCTTCCGAAATCGTCTTCCTCCTGCCCCTCCAAGCCATTGCTTGGAAGGGCTCCCAGACCAGTGTGTCCAGACGGCTGGGGGAACTGGGAGGAAAGGTGCTGGGGGCAGTGAGGCCATCCTGACATGCAGCCGAAGACTGGCCTTGTCTCTCAACAGGGCTTCTGCCTCCGTAGTCCCTGGAGCCCCGCCCATACCCCGCCCCCACCTGGCACGCAGGGCCTCTCTGTCCCCGGCCCCTCAGCAGCCCACAGTGGGATGGACAGAGCAGGGTTAGTCCAGAAAGCAAAGGTCTTTGATCAGCAGGGCAGAGGGTGCCTCTGGAGCTGGGTTTGGACACCAGGGGCTGCGGGAAATTTGGGGGCTGCGTGTGTGGTCCAAGGCCAGGCCAGGGGCAGACATTCTGCCCCCTCAGGGTTCTGCCACAGACAAGCATGAAACCTGATTCTCACTCCCCTCCAGAGGAGGTATTCACATGTATTCAAGGCTGGGGGTGCTAGGGTGGGCCTCTGCCCTCACCTGGACTCACCTGGGGAGTGTCCCTGGACTCTGTGCACTGCAAGTGCCAGGGGGCTGACAGGATTTATTCTTCCCAGAGGACACCAGGAAGACGGTGACCAAGGGAAATTCTTCCTGGTCCCAGCCAGGGAGGGGTGCCTCAATAGCCTGCCCTACCCTGTCCCCCACCACCCTGCAGGGACGACCTGGTAGGGACTCCTGACCCCTTTGGCAGTACCCTGGCCCTCCCTCTCTCTGATCCCAGGGGACCTGCCCTACTGCTCCTTCCCCCTGGAGGGGCAGCATTTCTAAAGGACAGAGTCCCCTCCGTCAGCTCCTGCCTCACCCTGTTGTGAGGTGGGCACTCAAGTTCCCCAGCGGAGGCAAATGCCGAGAGAAAGTCCTCTTCCTTCCTGGGCCATCCAGGGCCAGTCCCCTCCTCCTACATCCTTCCTTTTCTGTGGGAGGCATTTACAGGAGTCAGGGGCTGGTCAGATTGGAGGATTTCGGGGAAGCCTCCTGGCCCAGGAGTCCTCCTTGGGTGAAGGACATGGGTCCCTCTGAGAATTCTGGACTTCAGTCACAGGTTGGCCCAGATACTGGGGACCTGTGCTTTGTCAGTGAGCCTGTGGTGGGCAGACAGAAGCAAAAACAGTGATGGCGGGTACTGTGCCTGTCCCCAAACAGTGGTCTGTCTGGCTGGGAGGTCAGGTACTCTTCATGTCACATGTGTGCACATGCACACTTACACACATGCATGCACAAACACACGTGCACGCACACACACACACACAGAGGAGCCTTGAATCCATTTGCGGAGCTGCGTCTGACTTGGTGCCAGGGCAGCCGTGGGAGGCTGGGCAGATGGTGCAAAGTCCGGAATTAAAGAGGAAAAGTCAGAGGCTGGAATGGTGAGTGTGGGGGAGGGGAAGGTCCCCCTCAGCGAGCAGGAGGCACGCCCTCCCTCCTGGTGAGATAGTGTTGCTCTGCACCCTCAGCCCTGTGTCAGGAAGTGGGACATTAGGGGAGGAGGTGGCTCCGATGTGGAGCCAGTGGCCTCCCCAGCCTGTTTAGGGGCTCCTCCCTCCTCTTCAGCAGCTGAATCTCCTGCCTGGAGCCCCCATTAATAAAGATAATCATTGCAGTTGCTAAGGGCGAGTTCTCCTGGGCTAAAGGCTGTGCTCGGATCATTGGATCATCATATTCTGGGCTCACAGCTCTGTGAGATGGAAGCTGTTATTTTCCTAGTCCCACAGGTGAGGGGATCAAGGCTTAGGAAGCAGCAGCTGGATTTTATGATATGTAAATTACCTCAATCAAGCTGTTTCAGAAGAAAAAAGAAAAGAAAGAGGCGGTTGCCCAGGGTCCCAGGATTATGGAGGCACGGGCAGGATTTGAACTCAGGGCATGGCAACTCAGTCATCCAAGGCTATTGCCCTGAGGCCTCCAGGATCTGTGAGGTAGTGCTTTTATTTTTGAACCAGTCTTGCTCTGTTGCCCAGGCTGGAGCGCAATGGCGCGATCCTGGCTCACTGCAACCTCTGCCTCCCGGGTTCAAGTGATTCTCCTGCCTCAGCCTCCTGAGTAGCTGGGACTATAGGCGTCCACCACCAAGCCCAGCTCTTTTTTTTTTTTTTTTTTACTAGAGACAGGGTTTCATCATGTTGGCCAGGCTGGCCTCGAACTCCTGACCTCAGGTGATCCACCCATCTCGGCCTCCCAAAGTGCTGGGATTATAGGCATGAGCCACTGTGCCCAGCCGAGGTTGTGCTGTCTTTAAGGCCTGGCTTGCAGGGCTTCCCAGTTCTGAAGGAGCAGGCAGGGCTTCCATGGGGCCTCGGCACACTGCACAGGCCGTGGTGAGCACTTGCTTCCTGCACATCTGAGTGTGTCCCTGGGCAGCCCAGCCAGGACTCTTCCCCCTCCCAGACCCCGGTCCCTGAAAGATCCTGAATCCCCCCGAGTACCTCCCAACAGGTGCTTTGGGTTCTTTGACCAGAGTCCTGCTGGGCCCCCGAACTCCTGGCCCAGATGTTTCTCCGGCCTGCCGATGTTAAGCTGTCTAGAGGACAGCACTGCAGGCAGAAAATGCCGCTGGAGACACTAATCCTTCTCTGGGCTGGGCCACGGAGGGTGGAGGGAGATGGCTGTGAAGCAAATGCCTTCAGGGCTGGTCTTCTCGTGGCTCTAATTAAGCCCTTGCCAATTTGGGTCTGGCGGCCTCATCTTCCCACTGAACATCATACTAAAGTCAATTGGGGTCCAAAGGGGTCCCTGCTCCCATCTGGAAATGCTCCATGCTTGTTAGCTGGTAGCTTTTCTTTTTCTTTCCCCAAAGCCACCATCGTGTATAATCCCCTCCCCATCCCACTGGGTTTGGCCTTTGAAATCCGGGCACAGGGCAGTTCTTTGCCAGCCCTGCCTGCCTTCCTGACTGTGTGTCCCATGAGCCTAGGGGCTGAGCACTGTGGCATTTGGGGGTTGACTCACGCTGGGGTCCCTGGTGAAAATGGGCCCAGACATGGGGACAGGAAAGTAGAAGGGCAGTGACCAGGGAGGCAGGTCGGATGCTGGGGGAGGCTCCCGTCCCAGGACTGGGGCTGGACAGGAGGCCTAGGACACTTCTGGGCACAGCTAAGATCTCAGCCAGAACACATGTACCACTTTGCAGCCATTAGCTGGAGATACCAGCTCGGAGAGGTCTGGGCCCAGAGACCCAGAAACGGGGCCTGGCCTAGCTCTGTCCTTCAGCCGGAACGGGGACCAGGCAGGGAGTGTAGAAGGGTCTCGCTGAAGAGTAAGCAGATTCTCAGGCATGAGGCCACCTCCCATCAAGCTGGCTTTGCGTCTGCGTGGCCCCCCACAGGCTGCAGTAGTGTAGATGCTGCCTCTGCAGTAGATTTGGACCCAGTTGTTTTGGCCAGTGTAGACACAGCCTCTCCTTATAGTGCTGCTGCTTCTAAGGGGCGTGTGGGGTGTGGGCTGTGATGCCTCAGTATGTGTCCAGCTCCACCTCCTCGCATAACTTGATGTCTTCTATTCTTCCCCCCAAGAGTGGACCAGGCCATCTACGGCTGCTCCTCTCTCAGGCAGGTGGTCCCAGGTGGTCGTCCGTGCAGAAGGTATGGGGGGCAAGGCCTGTAAGGGCCTGAGACCCCGGGGAAGCCCCTTCTTAGACTCATAGGTCCCTCACTCTGTAGTGGAAGTAGCAGGTGTGCATGGTGGGGACCTGGGGTCAGAGGGGGGCCACAGGAACCAACCAAGGGCACAGGTGTAGAATGTGGATGCCTGGGGAGCTCTGAGGCACAGCGGTGGGGGAGTGACCTTGACGTCTACCAGCTCTGCCCCCAAACCTCACTTGCTTAGAGAGGTTCCGTGGGGCACCCCTACACCAAGCCCTTCACCTGCACTGCCGCCAAGGGCTTCAGAGTCGAGTTGAGGCACTGCCTCTCATGACAGGAACCTTCTCTCCAGCCGCCCTTGCTCACAGGACACCTGGGCAATTGCTGGAACCCAGGGAGAGTCAGAGGGGGCTTCCTGCAGGAGCTGGGGCCATGAGACCTCGGAGGGTGGACTGTGGCAGGTGAAGGGAGAAGGTGGCACATTCCAGGCCGCAGGACCAGCCAGGGCAAAGCTTGGCAGTGGGATGGCAGGGAGCCTGAGAAAGTGGAAAATATATGGGTTAAAGGAGGGAGGGCAGGATCCTGGAAGACCCTGACATCCTCTGGTACATGGGAGGAGTTGCAGGGGCTCACCCGTAGCCATAGACATGCCAGGGAAACGTGGGACTGCCTGACTCTCCAGAAGGGAAGTTGTCCCTGGCCCCAGCTCACCAAGCCTGGGTGGGGAATTACCGCCTGAGGTCCAGGGAACAGGTGAGCTGTTCCCTCCAGCTCACCTGTTCAAATTCCCTCCAGCCCCAGCTCTAGAGCTCTGAGCAGGGCTTTGAGTGCCCTCTACTGGCAGGAAGCTCTGGCGCTGGAAGCCTATTTAGAGAGGGTCGGAGGTTCGGTTTCTAGGAAACTGGAGGACCTGGGTGCGGTGTCCTCTCCAGTGATGGGGACAAAGCTGGCGGGAGCCATCGCTTCCCTGCCCTGGACTCATCAGGGCACCAAAAGCCCCCAGAAGGAAGCTGAGGCAGTGACGTTCCCAAGACAGTGGCCTGCTCACCCACAGATAGGGCTCTGAGGGCCTGGTGGGATTCCGGGCCAGGGTAGGCAGGTACCATCAGCATTCCTGGCTTGACAGCACTTGCGAGTGGAACTCCAGGGATGGCAAAGGACTCACTTTGGCTGGAGCAGGCAGATTGTTTCAGAAAAGAAGGGAGATGCCAAAGTCCTTAAATGCCAGGTTTAGTCTCTGGGTTTGATGCTCCAGGGAGTTTGGAGAGGTGGTGGTAGAGCAAGAAAAGGGTGGGCAACGTGAAGCTGTCAATCCGTCTGAAAACCATTCGGCTTCCGAGAATGCCTTAGCACAGCATGGGGGATGTCAGGGTTTACAGAAGTCATTTGGGGGATTGATCCACCCAGATGTGTCCATGGTCTCAGAGAGGGACCAAGGGCAGGGCTGATTTGTGAGCTCAAGGGTGTGCCGTATTTCCTTCAGGAAGGGGCTCCACCTCCCTGGGCCCTGTGAGGAGAGGGGCTTTGTGATTTGAGGCCAGAGGGGACTCTCCCAGCCTCACATCTGAGCAGGCAACAAGGCTGCCTGCCCTAGAGCTGGCCCAGGGCACCTTGGAAGCCTTTGCTGGGCTCTTCCCTGGGCAGCAGGACCATGGCAGACAAAAGAACCTGTTTCTCATCTCTCCAAGCTGTGGGCACCCCTGCCACTGCCCCTGCCCCTGCTAAGGGCTCCAAACTTTTCCAGCTCAAGCCCAAATCTCCTCAAGTGATGCCTATTGAAGAATTCCAAGGTAAGAGGAAGGACCCAGGGCCCCATCAGCCCTCCCTGACACCTGTTCCCCAACCACCACGGGAAAAAGGCGCTGCAGGACAGAGGACTGATGCCTGGCTCGGAAATCCTCCCGGAGTAGCTGGGCCAAGGTTAAACAGAGTCTCTCTTCCCTACAGGCCTCTGTCCCCAAGAGAGCTGGGAGCAGGTATGAGTCAGAAGCCAACTTGGGCACAGTGGGCAGGCCACACAGCAGGCAGAGCAGATGCCAGAAATAACCTGTCCCAGCTCCCCTGGGAGGTGTGACCCAGGGGCTCGTCTGGTTGAAGCAGAATCTGGGACACACGGGTCACTGATGATGCTCTTTGGGACATTTAGAGGATGCCTTACCTTCTCCTTGTCTCTGGAAGGACAAAGTGAAGGGGGCAGGTCCAAGGGGCCCACAGGTGGGAATGGCCACCATCTCTCCTCAGCACAGGCTGTTTCTCCAGGGTCTCCCATGCCCTTGATCACTGAGGCCTGGGTCAGTCCCTCCTTATCTCATCACAAAAGGGAAGCCGGGTCCTCTAGAGATGCACAGATGGAGGCCGGGCACGGTGGTTCACACCTGTAATCCCAGCACTTTGGGAGGCCAAGGCGGGCTGATCACAAGGTCAAGAGATCAAGACCATCCTGGCCAACATGGTGAAACCCCATCTCTATTAAAATACAAAAATTAGCTGGGCATGGTGGCGCATACCTGTAGTCCCAGCTACTTGGGAGGCTGAGGCAGGAGAATTGCTTGAACCCAGGAGGCAGAGGTTTCAGTGAGCTGAGATCACACCACGGCACTCCAGCCTGGCACCTGGCAACAGAGCAAGACTCTGTCTCAAAAAAAAAAAAATGCACAGATGGTGTTTCAAGAGGGTAGCCAGTGTCCTTCCCTGTTCAGAGGCAGCCACATTGTCTTTCTTGCTGGGGGAGTGGGGGAGTGGGTGAGTACTGTGCCCCTTAGTAGGAACACCAAGGGATGCCTGCCCCCACCCCCCGAATCCTTAGGATAGAGAAGGCAACTTTCCTCACCAAATCCTCCATGACATTATAGGGTTCACCTCTAATCCCTGAGAGCCTTGCCCCAGGCGGTCACATGCTTGTCTGGTCCTTGGAGTGGAGCTGATCAGGGAGGGGTCAGCCTGAGAACCACATAGGGATGGGGTGCAGGAGGTAGAACACGGTGGTGGTGGTCCTTGGTATGAAACCATGTACTTCCAGGAATAGCGAGTCAGAAGCCAGGCCAGGACCAGCGGGAGGCAAGCAGGTTCCCGGGTCCCCTGCTTTAAAGTGGCACTCACTCAGTATCCTGCAAAACAACCAAACTTTCAGAAAGCCCAGGCTGATAAGAAAGAGTCTGGGCCAGGCACAGTGGCTCACGCCTGTAATCCCAGCACTTTTGGAGGCCAAGGCAGATAGATCCCCTGAGGTCAGGAGTTCAAGACAAGCCTGGCCAATATGGCGAAACTCCATCTCTACTAAAAAAAAAAAAAAAAAAAAAAAAAAAAAAAAGCCAGGTGTGGTGGCAGGCGTTTGTAATCTCAGCTACTCGGGAGGCTGAGGCAGGAGAATCGCTTGAACCCAGGAGGCAGAGATTGCAGTGAGCCGAGATCGCACCATTGCACTCCAGCCTGGGCAACAAGAGCGAAACTTCGCCTCAAAAAAAAAGAAAAAGAAAAAAGAAAGGGTCCGGTAGGTGGGGATTTTCCTCCCAGCCATCTTCCAAAGCAGCACGGGCAGGAGCTCCTGGCCCATTGCATCTTGTCTGGCGTCCATGCATGCATTCATTCATTCACCGAAGGACACCATGGTGAGCGCCGTGAACCCAGGCGACTCCCTCCCCCAGTGCATGGCCAGGTGGCATGACCCTGCCTTCCTTGCATGAATCACGTTCTGATTACCCCAGCAAGCAGGAATCCTTCAGAGAAGACTTGGCCCTGGCACCCAGCCAGGTGTTAGCAGGTGCTGCCCACTGGCCCTCCCTGGTTCCGTCTACAGGGCCAGGTGGGAATCCCTGGGCTCAGCCTACTCAGGTTCTCCTCCAGGTCCAAAGCAGGGAGGCCTGTCTCTTTCCAAATCCGATACAAGGGTTGGAGGCTTAGGGCACCCTCCTGGGCCTTTTCCAAAGATGCCTTCTTCCCTCCCTGCATGACCTGGGTGAGTCCTTCTTTGCCCTGTGCCTCAGTTTCCCTGAATGCTCACTGACCATTGGCGTTTCTCCCACTTGGCCGGCCCAGACTGCGAATGCTACGGCCACTCCAACCGCTGCAGCTACATTGACTTCCTGAATGTGGTGACCTGCGTCAGCTGCAAGCACAACACTCGAGGTCAGCACTGCCAGCACTGCCGGCTGGGCTACTACCGCAACGGCTCGGCGGAGCTGGACGATGAGAACGTCTGCATCGGTGAGAGGACGCGGGCACCCACAGGAAACTCACTGGAACGCGTGCGGGGTGCACTGCACTGTGAGGTGGCCTCTGGGGCCCCTTGCATCAGAATCACCTGGGGAGGCTGTGGGAATTCTAACTTCAGGGCCCCTCCAGCTGAGCGTCTCTAGGGACAGAAAGCTCCAGAAGCTGCTCTATCAGTAACCTCCCCTTGTGGTTCTCCTGTAGGAGAATTGGAGTTGCAAAACTTACCAGTGGCCTTTCCTTCTCTGGGCAACTGGAGGGGACACTGACCCTTCTGGATCCAAAGAGCTATGACTCTGGCAGGTGGCAGGCACTCAGCAGAGGCCACAGAGCACCTGTCTGGGGCTGGTGTGTGTGGGCGGGAAGTCCCCCTAAATAGCTCCTTTCCAGAAGGGTGGAGGAACAGCCTATCCCTCCTCCTGGGGGTGGGGGAGTGGATGCCAGCTGAGGTCCAAAAGATGGCCTTGCTGCATGCATTTGGGCAAGTCCCTTTCCCTCCCTGGGCCTTGGTTTCCTCATTCATCAAATCGGGAGGCAGATCTGATCAAAGGTTTTCAGCTCTTTTTTGTTGCTGAAACTTTTCTTCAAATGCTTTACCAGCCCAGGTCCAGCTTATAAGGCTGCTCTTCACCTCCGGTGGGCACCCGGTCTGCTTTCTTCCAAGTTCTGCTTTAGGACTGGCTTTAAGGTAGAGAAGGAAGTCCATCAGGGCCTGGGTCTGGGCAGGGGACACACAAGCCCGAAAGACCAAAGCCATGACCACCAACCAAAACCCACCAGCCTGGAATGGTTGCCCAGAACCCCTTGCCCCTGTTGTCGGTAGAGACCAGGTCTCAACCCCAGGGACTGTCCCCCAACCCTGCCCAGCCAGGTCCCTTGGGACACGATTGCCCATTCCCCACGCAGAAGGAGGCTCTAGATGCTCAGAGAAAGGGTTCTGGCAAAGCTGGAGCTGTCGGTCTGAATTACGGCAACAGCCTTCAGGTAATTCCATCAACTCTAAGTGATCAAAGCCGCTGACGTCACAGGGGGCCAGCTGCAGGGACAGGACAGGGCCTCTGGATCCAATTAGAGGTGCCCCCACCCTGGCACCCTCCTCCTCTCCCTGGGTCTCCCTGCCTCCACCTAGCACTGAGCTGTAAGGTTTCTCTGGGTGGAGGATATTTGCCCCCTCCCACAGAGCAGAGCCCCAAGGAAATTGGGCCCCGCCCCCTGCTCGGCCCAGGAGCAGGGATAGGCTGTTTCTCCACTCTCCTGGAAAGGAGCTATGGAGGGGGGGCCACCTCCCCACAACAAAGCAGCCCCAGACGTGCTCAGTGGCCTCTGTTGAGCTCCTGCCATCTGTCGGAGTCATAGCTTTTTGGAGATGGGAAGGGTCAGCGACCCATCTAGATGCCCAGAGAAGGGAAAAGGCTGACCCAGGCCACACCAGTGTCAGGGATGAGGGAGGTGGGGCTGGGAGGTGTTAGATCCCAGGGAAGGAAGCCAGAGTCTTCTCTCCAGGTCTGGACAACCCGGGGAGTCCTCACCCGCCGTCCAGCCGCGGGCTCACGTGGACCCGGTGTGGGAAGCATCCCCTGGGGAGTGTGGAGACCCGGCTGCGAGACCGGGAGAGTGGGGGTCCCAGCAGACGGCACCCACAGGTAGCCCTGACCGCGCGCCCGTGCCCGTGTCCGTCCAGAGTGTAACTGCAACCAGATAGGCTCCGTGCACGACCGGTGCAACGAGACCGGCTTCTGCGAGTGCCGCGAGGGCGCGGCGGGCCCCAAGTGCGACGACTGCCTCCCCACGCACTACTGGCGCCAGGGCTGCTACCGTGAGTGCACGCCGGTTCCCTGGTGGGCTGGGCCTGCGGAAACGGGGCGGGGCAGGACTGAGGCAGGGAGCGGAGCCTAGTGAGGCCGGGGCAGGGGCAGTGGGTGGGGCCTAGCGAGACGGGGCAGGGCCGGGGAAGTGGGCGGAGCTTGGTGGGTTGGGGCGGAGCCTGGTGCGATAGGGCGGGGCCTAGCGAGACGGGGAGGGGATAGGATGTTCCTGGGGCGGGGCCCGGGTTGAGGGGCGGGACCAGGAGCTCGGGGCGGGGCTTGGTGGGACGTGGGGCACAGTGGTGGCAGGTGGGAACTACGGGAAAGGCGGAGCTGGGGTCGGCTGGAAAGGGTTTGCGGGGACTGAGGGAAGGAGGCTCTCCGAGTCGGCGTTAGCCGCGGGCAGAGGGTGGAAGGACGCTCCAGGCGCATGAAATGGAACAGCACGTGCACAGCTTTGGAGACTGCAGACGTGTCTGAAGAATCGCACCGAAGCCAGTGGGGCGGGGGAGCGGGGCAGCGGTGGGAGGCAGGCGGGTCCAGATCTCGCCCTGTCGCCGTGACCCTCCGAGCGGGGACGTTTCGCACCCAGCGCGCCCGGAGCCTCCTACACCCCCAGTCCAGACAGCGCCCCCGGGGGCTCGCACAGCCCGCTTCGCAGGAGCTCGGAGGTGGGGCGGGGGGGACCCGGCCACGCCCTGCGCTGACCGCCCCCTCCGCCCGCAGCCAACGTGTGCGACGACGACCAGCTGCTGTGCCTGAACGGAGGCACCTGCCTGCAGAACCAGCGCTGCGCCTGCCCGCGCGGCTACACCGGTGTGCGCTGCGAGCAGCCCCGCTGCGACCCTGCAGACGACGACGGCGGCCTGGACTGCGACCGCGCGCCCGGGGCCGCCCCGCACCCCGCCACCCTGCTCGGCTGCCTGCTGCTGCTGGGGCTGGCCGCCCGCCTGGGCCACTGAGCTCCGCCCAGGGGACGCGCCCTGCACCCGGGGGCTGCGGTCCCAGGGTCCTGGGGTGGGGCCGGCGTCCGAGGCCGGGCGGCGAGAAGGGTGCGGCCGGAGCTGCTCCCAGGTGCTACTCAGCAGGGCCCCCCGCCCGGCCCGCGCTCCCGCCCGCACTGCCCTCCCCACGCAGCAGGGGCGCCTTGGGGCTTCCCCCCGCGCCTGCCATGTGGTTTCGTTTTTCTTTTCTATTATCTGCGGCCCCGTTCCTTTTTTATTTTTAATTTCTCTCTTTTTTTTTTTTTTTTTTTTTTTTTGGCTGGCGGTGAGCCAGGGGGTCTGGAGAAACGCTGCTCGCCTCACACCGCGTCTTGCCTCCCCCCATACTGGCACACACGGGACTGTGGCCGACGCCCCGTGGCCTGTCCTGGGCTCACGGACGGCGGCGGACCCCGACCTCCAGTTGCCTGCAATTCCAGTCGCTGACTCGATCCTGTTTTTTATTCTTTATTTTTCCCGCAACCCACCAGACCCCAGGCCTCACCGGAGGCCCGGTGACCAAGGAACTCACCGTCTGGGGGAGGGGGAGAGAAAGAAGGGGTGGGAGGCCTGGACACTTTGATTTGTAGAGAACTATTTTTGTTTGCATTCACTGTTCCCTGTAGGGGGTACGGGGCGGGAACGCTGGTCACCGCGGGGGTCCATGGCGTAGAATCCGAGGAGTAAAGAGTCTGCTCACTGCTGTCTCCAGGGCCTGTTTTCTTTCTGTGTTGGGGACGCTGGGCAGGTTTGGGGCTTAGAGAGGAACCCACAAGAGAGCCTTAAAGAAACGGTTTCCCTGTTGGGGCCATCATTTCCCGGGCCCTTGCCGTGGAAAGGCCCTCTGGGGTGGGTTCTGCCCACCCACCCCTCAGGCTTGGCTGGCAAAGCTCTCCCACCCCGTGGCCAGGTTGCAGGTGTCCTACCTGCCAGGAGCCTCCCCACACTGACGGGTTGTCTCCCTCCTTTCCCAAAAAAGAAATCCAGAGTGCACGGGCCCTTTTCTACAGAAGTCCAACGAAAATTCTCAGGGAGAATCCTGGTAGAGATTGAATCCCACGCTCTGATACTCTCTGGGTGGCAGCCCCTGACAGATGTGTCATCTCGGATCTGTTGCAACCGTAGCCTCAAATCCAATGTCAGGATTGGATTTAGCTGAACCCACAATTCGGCCACCACCTCCTTCCATAGTTTCAGGCGGCCAGGTGGGCAGAGGCGGTCAGGGCAGAGATCCCAGACAGGCCAGCAGCCAAGTCCTCCTCACCTTCTTGAGATTAGGGAGGAGTGCTGGAGGGGTCAGGGGCAGCTTGTGAGTGGCAAGAGGAAGCTCATAGATTCGGGGCTCCTCTCCTGGGGCCTCTGCTTCTGAGGATCCAGCAGCTCTACCAGCTCTGGGGGCCACACTTCCCCCTCGGTCCAGCCACCTGCTGGCCTGTGTTTATTTCGAAGCAGTCCTGGGGTCCTGTCCTGGTTGCTAACTGCTCCTACTGCTCCACCTCCAGGCGCCCCGAGCACTGGCTTCTGTCACCGCACCTGTGCTTTCCCGGCTGCAAGGTTTAGACCTGGGTTCTTCCCTCGAGTCCCTGAAACTAAGCTAAGACCAAGTGGAAGAAACTTGGCCTTGGAGACAGCAGGAGATTACAGCACAGAGAAGGAGGGGGAGGTACATCGGGACACTGCCTAGGACTCACAGCGTCCTGAGCTCCCACGCCAGCACTCCTGGCCTCCTCTCTCAGCTCCCACCCCAGCACCCTGCTGACCCAGAAGTGCCTTCCGCCAGACCATGCATCTCTCGCAGCTGGCCTGTCTCCACCCTCACCTTCTTCCATATGCACAGAATCCTACTGCCTGGGACCCAAAGCTCCCAGATAAAACACCTTTCTGGGCCTCCTTGTGGATAGGAGTGGATGGGAACACAACTCTGGGCAGCGAGATGTAAGCAGGAATAATGGGTGGGACTTCCAGAAAGTTCCTTAAAAGCCATTCCTTCCTCCATGCCCCACGAAGCCTCAGCTGTCCAAGTTTGTGGCTCTGATTTTTCTCTCGTCCCTCCCCCTGCTTTTCAGGCAGCAGGTTGGGGAAGGAGCCTTCTGTGGACACTGAGCATAAGAGTGTCGCCCTCAGGACGGTGGAGGGTGGAGCTGGTGGGGGGTGGGGGGTGGAGGTTGCAGAGCCTGGGACACTTGCCCTGGCTGCAGTCTCTGCATTGCTTTTATTTATCTACTTATTTTTATAGAGTTGGGGTCTCACTATGTTGCCCAGGCTGATCTCAAACTCCTAGGCTCAAGTGATCCTCGGGCTTGGCCTCCCAAAGTGCTGGGATTACAGGCATGAGCCACTGCACCGCCTGCATGTCTTACTGTGTGAGAAAAAAAATAAACATTGATGTTATTAAAACACTAGAATTTGGGTTTTCTGTTCCATGCACACTTACCAAGTTCTTGGCCCTCCCTGATTGATCTCCAGGCCCCCTGAGTCCTCTGAGGCCAGAGAGAGACTGAAACCCACCCTTCCTTGGCCACAGCCTCCTATGGTGACCCTCAGGCCACCAGGAAGAGGACTGTCCATGACTCAGGCAGAGGAGTCCACCTCTGTCCAGAACAGGACTGCCCCTGCCTTCAAGTGAGCAGAGGACAGCCGGGCCCAGACAAACAGCAGTGCCGGCGGCAGTCGGTAAACACGGGTGCTTCCTTCTAGTCATCGAGATGATAAAATGTCACCTAGAAGCAGAACTAGAGGCAGAACTTGAGACAGGGACAGCAGGTCCCAGCCCCAGTGGCCAGCCCTGGCTGGATCACAGGGCTGGGGACCCTGGAGCATCACTGCATCCCAGCACTGTTCTTGCCTGGAGGCAAGTGGGCCACCCTCTGTCAGACACCAGTGCCAGGCTGGCATGGGAGCTGCAATAGAAGCCCCTGTTACAGAAAGTGGGCAGCTGGGGGCTGAGAAGAGACCCATGAGGTGGTGCAGAGGGCATGCCTCTTTATATCACTGGGTGTGTCCCAAACACCCTTAAGGGTTCTGGGATGCGGGGACCTCTGCAGGTGCCCATTCTGTCCTTCTTAACCTCTGTCAGCTGGGCCCATGCTGTGTCAGCTTTTCTGGGACTGGCCTGTGCACCCAGGGCCAGGGAGGTGGAGCTCACTGTAAATTAGAGTGGCAGCCCCAGTCCCCGGGGACACACTGAGGCCCTGATCTTCCCGGAAGGTGGACAGAATGTTGCCAGTGGCTATTTAGAAAAACTCTTGACATCTTCCAGGCAGCAGGAGAAGGAGAAAACAAGGTCAGCAGAGCCAGAAGTCCCAGACCATCCTCTTCTAAAGGGCACACCCTTGTCCTCAGAGCTCATGTTTTGACACCTGGTTCTGGGAGGTGACGGGAAAAGGCTCACATTGCGAGGCTTGGATCACCATCACCGCATGCCCAGGCACCGTGCTTGCGTTATTGCATTAGCCCCACCTGAACCCTGGGCAAGGTTTTTAACCTTGGCACCATTGACCTTGGGGGCTGGGTAATTCTCCGTGGCTGGGTAGGGGGGACTGCTCTGTGCACATGGGATGTGCAGCAGCATCACTGGCTCTCATGTGGTACTTCAACGTGCCCCGCCCCCAGTTGTTGCAACCCAAAGTGCCTCCAGTAATTGCCAAATTGGGAGCAAAATTGTCCTAGATTGAGAATCACTGCCTCAGGAGGAGGAATTGTCATGCCCATTTTACAGAGGGGTAAGGGGAGGCTGGGAGAGACAAAGGCACTTGCCTGGAGTCACAGTTGCTAAGAAGCAGAGGTGAGAGTTGAACCCAGGACTGCCTAACTCGAGCCCAGTGCTTCACCCCCAAGCTAAGCAGCCCTGGCAGACATGGGGCATCCACCTCCCAGCGGGCGGCCGCAACTGTCCCCCACCTCCATACCTTCAGCTGCCTCCCTCCTTTGGCACTCACAGCCAGGTCAGGCTGAGCAAGGAGCCCTGGGGAGCCTGGCTTCATCTAAATGGCTCTGCTGTCAGGGGAAACGCCTCCCACTGCCCTCTGTGGCAGCGTGGCTTGTCCCCTGCCCCCACCTACTCCCCTAAATAAGAAGAATTGCTGCATCGGCATTTCCTGCCCAGCCCATGCCTTATGGTTATGAGGCAGTTATGGAAGCCTGGAGAGCAGTCAGCAGCATCTCCTGGCAGACCTGGGCCTGCCTCCCTCTCTCCCCAGGGGCCTGGTCCATCCAGGCACATCCCAGCCAGAAGAGTTAAGGGAAAGGCCCCAGAAGAAAAACATTACTTATTTATTTTTCCTTTTAAATCACATACCACAACTTGTAGGGAAGTTCAAAAATACAGAAAAGCAAAATCATAATAATTTTTGAATTAAACTCACCCACAACTCTTCATCCAGAACTAATCAACTATTAATATTTTCTTTTCTTTTTTTTTTTTTTTTTTTGAGACTGAGTCTCTGTCACCCTGGCTGGAGTGCAGTGGCATGATCTGGGTTCACCTCAATCTCCGCCTCCTGGGCTCAAACTATCCTCCCACCTCAACCTCCTGAGTACCTGGATCTATAGGCCCATACCACCACGTCCAGCTAATTTTTGAATTTTTAGTAGAGACGGAGTTTTACTGTGTTTTACACGTTGGTCTCAAGCGATCCTCATGCCTCAGTCTCCCAAAGTGCTAAGATTACAGGCATGAGCCACTGCGCCCAGCATAACTGCTAATATTTTTCTTCTAGATATTTCCAGTGTCTCTTTCTTTCTTTTTCTTCTTCCTGCCTACTTTTTTCTTTATTTCTTTCATTCTTCCTTTTTTTCTTCCTTCTTTCTGCCCTTCTTTTTCCTTCTCCTTCCTTCCTTCCTTCCTTCCTTCCTTCCTTCCTTCCTTCCTTCCTTCCTTCCTTCCTTCCCTCCTTCCTTCTTGAGACAGAGTTTCACTCGTTGCACAGGCTGGAGTGCAATGGCACAATCTCAGCTCACCTCAACCTCTGCCTCCTGGGTTCAGGCGTTTCTCCTGCCTCTGCCTACCAAGTAGCTGGGATTACGGGCATGCGCCACCATGCCTGGCTAATTTTTTATATTTTTAGTAGAAAAGGGGTTTCTCCATGTTGGTCAGGCTGCTCTCAAACTCCCAACCTCAGGTGATCCACCTGCCTCAGCCTCCCAGAGTGCTGGGATTACAGGCATGAGCCAAAGCGCCCAGCCATTTCTAGTATTTTTCCATAAAATAAAACCAACCACACTGAAACCTCACCCCCAACACCTGCATTTGCTGAGCCCTAGCACTGAGGCTGAACATGTCTTATTTCAAGGGTCCCTGCAGTGATGCTGAGAGTGGGATCAATTAATATAATACAGCCGTCTCATAGCTCCACGCACCAGAGCTCTGAGAGCATCCTGGCCAGGGACCTTAGCCACAAGCACCAAAACACAGCACCAGGTGATTTAAGCAGCAGAGGATATTATGTGAAGGGTTGCAGAGCCCTCAGACACATGTCAGGAGAGCAAGGGAAGAGAATGGAAAGTGGGCCGGGCATGGTGGATCACATCTGTAATCCAGACTTTGGGAGGACAAAGCAGGCGGATCACCTGAGGTCAGGAGTTCCAGACCAGCCTGGTCAACATGGCGAAACCCCATCTCTATTAAAAATACAAAAATTAGCCAGGCGTCGTGTTGGGCACCTGTAATCCCAGAAACGCAGGAGGCTGAGGCAGGAGAATCGCTTGAACCTGGGATGCAGAGGTTACAGTAAGCTGAGATAGAGCCACTGCCCTCCAGCCTAGGTGACAGAGCGAGACTTTGTCTCAAAAAATAAATAAATAAATAAAAGTTAGCTTGGCATAGTGGCAGGTGCCTGTAGTCACAGCTACTCAGGGGGGTGAGGCAGGAGAATCCCTTGAACCCAGGAGGCAGAGGTTGCAATGAGGCGAGATCGCACCACTGCACTCCAGCCTGGGCAGCAGAGGGAGACTGCATCTCAAAAAATATATATATATAAAAGAAATGCCAAGCCCCACCTTTCATTTTTTTGCCCAGCCTCTCACCCTCTTCCCCTCCCAGCCTGGGCCCACTGGCAGTGGGACTCTAGCTTCCAGGGGTGGGGGTGGGGTTGCCATGTGCCCTTCTGACACCTCAGGGTCTGGCCAAGTGCCTGTGCTCCTGGTGGCATAAGAGACCATGCTGTCCAGCAGGGGCAGCCAGGTGGAGGCACCTGCAGCTAACGTGCTCCAGATGGCTTCCGGCCAGAGGCTTGCTCCCTGGCTGATGGAGCAGGTGACTCTTGGGACCCAGCCAGGAGCAGCTGGAGTGAGGCCCAGAGTCCTGGGAGCTCATGCCTTTCACAGCTGACCTAGTGCCCACATTTCTGCCCCTGAATGGGAGGGCAGCTCCCCAGGCAGAAAGAAAGTGGTTACAGGCATGAGCTCTGGAATCTGACCTGGGCTGGAAGCTGTACCCCACCATCTGCCAACTGTATGACCTTGGGCAAGTTTCTCGGTCTCTCTGCACCTTGGCTGTCTTGTCTGTGAAATGGGGAGGTTGAGAGTAGTGCCTGCAGTGTCAGGCTATTGTAAGAAGCGAATGCGTTGAGCCCTGCGGTGTTTAGAGCAGGGCTGGGTACAAAGTCAGCGATCCCTAAGTGTCAGCTGCTGTGATTGCTCTGTTTCCTTTCTGTCCTCCTCCCCAGAACCCACCAGGAGGGTGCAGGGTCACTCACACCCCCTTTCTCACTCATCATATTCCTGAGCACCTCAGTGTACCCAGCCTGGCCCAGTGAACCAGACAGACACAGGTTCTGCCCTCCCGGCGCTCCTGGTGGACCCCCTACCTCCACCTGCCATACACACCAGGCAGGATTGAGATTCTTCGTAATCTGCAGAGGGACCCAAGCTTTTGTGCCAACAAGACAGACCAGGAGGCTGGGTGTGGTGGCTCATGCCTATAATCCCAGCACTTTGGGAGGCCAAGGCGGGAGGATCATAAGGTCAGGAATTAGAGACCAGACTGACCAATATGGAGAAACTTCAGCTCTACTGAAAATACAAAAGTTAGCTGGATATGGTAGTGCATGCCTATAATCCCAGCTACTCTGGAGGCTGAGGCAGGAGAATCACTTGAAACCAGGAGGTGGAGGTTGCAGTGAGCCGAGATTATGCCACTGCACTCCAGCCTGGGTGACAGAGCCAGACTCCCATCTCAAAAATAAAAATAAAAAAAGAAGGACAAGGAAGACTCCCTAAGTCCCTGCCCACCCCACTACCCTTACCTGACCAAGCCTGGCCCCACTCAGCAGGCCCCTGAAACTTCTGCGCCTGTTCCTCAAACAAAAGCCACCTCCATCCCCTTTCCCCTGCGGCCCGCAGGAGGTTTAGGATTAGGGACAGGGTTGGGGGAAGGGAGAGGCTCCCCCTGCAGAGGGAGGTTCAC